CAATAAACTCTTTGCCTAACGCATTCCTACCGAACTATGTCAGTTCAAGTCCCTCATATTATTTCTCTCCCACCTGGGCTCCTCCTTTATAGTATCGGGACCCACTCCCAGGTAGGGTTCAGCGCTAACTCCGCGAGTCCGCGCGTTCCCCCTACTCCCCTGCGTTCACCTAAATAAATAATTAAAGCTTATCAGCCCTGTAAACCCACCTCGGACAACTGTTCCACCCATTGCTGTCACGGGTGGGACATTAGAGTGGTCCAAAAAAATTAAGTCGGAGTTTTAATGCCGGCACACCCTAGGATTGATCTATATCGAAAAAAATATACCTCTATTGTTTTATTTTGAAATCAAAAAATATTTAGGGAGTGCTCAAAGTGCTCAAAGTTTTCCATGTATCTTATATTGAGAAAAAACAATTTTTCGTAGAAATGGTATAAAACTCTTGAAAATCAATATTTTTCGACCGGAAAACTGTGGTTCTCTTCAGGAGACTTCCAATATTAATATCCAATTGTTTATTTAACCTTTTTTATGATTCAAGATTTTTTATTGGTCCTCCCATTGCATTTTCTTAGGGCTTTGGAGGACCTATAAAATATAGTTACCATGAAAAATTGGGTATTATTACTGGGAATCTCCTGAAGATAAATAAAGTTTTCCGATCGAAAAATATTGATTTTCAAGAATTCTACACTATTTCTACGAAAAGTTGTTTTTTTCCCATATAAAATACATGGAAAACTTTGAGCGCTTTGAGCACTACCTAAATTATTTTTTATTCCAAAATAAAAAAATATGGGTATATTTTTTTTCGGTATATAACAATCCTAGGGTGTGGCGGCATTAAAAATCCGACCTTATTTTTTTTTTACATACATTTTTGGACCACTTTACTGGGACATGCTTTACTGTTGAATTTATTTAGAACTTAAAGTTTTAGTTTGTTATTTTTCGGTTGATTCAAGAACTTTTTCAAATGTCTTATCCACACGTTTGTTAGTTTTATAAAAAAAATTATAATTTTTCCACTAAGGTTCAGTTTCTCATGGAACCTCCCTAACGTTATAAAAGTTTATGTTATATAAATACATACTTGAATTACGTTTCCATATATATGTATGTAAATAATATAAATGTAAAAGATGTCTGTTGAATTCAGCAGTGCGCCCGGTGAACCTTGCTTTTGGAATGTCATTTTCGTTTTTCCACTTTCTTTTTCAATAGGGAAAGGTGTAAAAGGAGACAGAAAGACACATCATCACAATCGGACACTTGTGTTAAAGGCACTGTACCAAATCAAAATAATAAGCATAATTTGTGTGTAGTGTGATAAAAAGTGGATAACATCGCAAGTAATCAAGGTGTCTTTTTCCTTTTTCACCACTTTTCTTTGAAATTGTTCATCCAGTAAATTCGAATTTATGAATGTTCATATGTACATACATACATACATATGTATTTATGTAAATATTTACATATATGTTTCCATTTACATATACAAAATAGGAATGTAAATCCTGGGATCCCGGCCTTTTTGAGATCCCAAAAATCCCGGGATTCTTGGCAAATAAGCCCGGGGTTTTCGGGATATGTAATTTGCACTGATGGCAATAATAGAAACTCCCTTTCTTAACCAGTATTGGCTATATTTCTTTTTTATTTAATAATTAATCTATTTTTAAATGTCTAGCTCATTATAGATACATATAACATCGCGCAATAGTAAATCCTAAATCATATCTTTGAAATTACAAAGTCCTTTAAAATAAATCCTGACGTGAGAGAGAAAAAATAAAAACGCCACTTTAAATAAAAAATTTGGTTTCAAACCCATTTATTTATTATTTATTTTATGGTAGGAGAGCTTCTCAAACAATATATGTAGAAGCAATTTTTTCGATTTAAGTTGTTGAAAATTAATGAATATCTAAATCCCGGGACTAATCCCGCAATTGTAATAACGACATCCCGGAAATCCCGGGATCGGAAAATGCAGCAAAAATTAACATCCCTAATACTTACACACATACATACATATGTATGTATAAACTTTCCAAATACATATTTACTTCGTCCATCTTATTCAGTGACTCGGCTCCTGCTTTTACTGCAAACGTTAAAAAGTTAAGTCCTTCGACAGTTGCGAATATCGAAAAAAAAGAACAATGAATGAATATTACAGCATTAAAATTAAATAAAACGAACGCAAAGGCATACAGAGTGCACGTGAATGTGGGATGTAGAAGATTTGATGGCGGAATGGCGGCTTGCGATTTATGACCTCCGACTAATGGACTGCTGCGACCCTTCGCGTTGTCAATGGAAAGCGAATGTTTTGGGCTATTTCCTTTTATGTATTTTGTTTTTATTTATTTTATTTTATAGCTGCTGGCAACCAAAGAGTAATTCTAACAGCACTTGTTGTTGGTGCAATATCAATGACCTTATAATGACATTCCGNTCTTTTGTTGTGTTATTCATTTGATTTTATAGCTGCTGGCAACCAAAGAGTAATTCTAACAGCACTTGTTGTTGGTGCAATATCAATGACCTTATAATGACATTCCGATATGGTCTCAGTTTATGACACACTTTTTTAAGCATACGTTTTATTTAACAACTCACGTTTTTTTTTTTTTGTATTTTTAAAGATTTATGTTAGCACATGATTCAATTTGACCAGGTCTGCATACATAAATGCATATGTACATACATAAGTAAATAAGTAATGTATACATGTATGTACATATGTACATATGTAAATATGCATGTCCCTATTTTATTTGCGATACTATGTACATACATATGTATATAAATATATGTAGGTATATACATGCATATCGAAGTATGTATCTACACTAACAACGGCCTTCACTGACTCTTACCACATGTATTTATTGTTGTGAAATTTACTTACACACTGGGGCTATTTTTTTAGTAAAGCAGTAAAATAAACTAAAACGTATTTAATAAGATACATATGTACTTACACAAAAGCTTTAATTATATGATTTTATAAAAGGAAATGCTAGACTCCAAATTTAAATTTTGTCCCTGTTAAAGTTAGCATTTTTTTCAATCGTAATGCAATTTTAAAACGAAAATATGTAGGAAGAATTACCTGATCTAGAAAAACGGTCTGCAGATTAGTAATCTATGATCCAAAATTAAGTTTACGTGTCGCGTTTTTTTTTTTTTTTTTTTTTTTTTTTGTATGTGTCGTTTTAATGAGCCCCCATTTGATTAATGGGAAACCTAAGAATTTAAATGTTATGTTAAAAAATACATATTTTGCTGTGACGGGTGGATATCCAATATGCATTACTTGAAGGCTTATAACTTCTCACCCAAAACGCACTTTTGTAATAACTTACCACCATTTTGAAGTTCAGGAATTGCCTTTAATACATGAGGGATGCCTTGAAAACTTGATGCAAAAATATGACAGCATTTATATATGCATTTATAACAATAAAATAGAGAAAATAGTGGTAAGAATTTATGTAATTTATTTTATTACCTGAGGTGTCGTCATCGCTGGAATGGCCCTTATGTTACTGAATGAACTATATTCTTATAACTACAAAAATAATAATATAAAATAAAGTTCAAGAAATCGGATAAACGAGGATATAAACATGTGAGTATTGCAGAAAGGTAGATAAAGCTCTTTAAACACCGGAGTTCTTCAGTATCGAATTTATAATTAACACTGGTTTTTGATAAACACTGATACTAGTTTAATGATATAGTAGTTGTTTTTTAAATTGTTTTTGTACCTTAGAGAGTATTCTTCCGACTATTATATAAAGCGGAAGAAAATGATTCAGGGGTTTTCTTTATTAAGGTAACGATAGGTATGTATAATGAAAAATATACATCAGAGTCCAACGATTTTAGCGCCATCGCACTACTTCTAAAGCCCAAATAAGATAGCTGCTCCTGCCAGATTCGTATCAACTACTAGTGACATGAAAGAACACGTTGATTGTGAGTTCAGAATCATTGTATTTAAGTAGATATCGACAATAATAGTAGGCACAATATCTACATACATAAAAAAAATAATCCCGAAATGAAAAAAACCTCGCTGCTGTCAAATAAAGCCACCTAAATACATAAGAATGTATAAAACTTGAAGTCTGTTTTAAATACATACAGTGCCGAACAGAAGTATTGGCACAGTGAATTTTTCGCAATATATGCAAAGTTCTTTATTCTAATTTATTTCCGATAATTTTTTATAAAAATATCGTTTATTCTACACCAAAAAACATAATAATAAAATCTCTAAACTTTGTGCAAAACTCAGGAAAATTGATTAAATTTGCACACAAATTTGGAACATTTTATTCAGATTTTTTAGAAAAATTCTAAGTATGCAGTTTTATAGCCCATTCAAACTTAGTATAACAAAGTGTAAGTTTGAAGTCGCTATTCGCATTGATTTTTGGTAGTTTTTTTCGCGCAAGTTCTTCCATACAAAGTAATTCGACAATTATTTTTTGTATGGAGAAAATGAGCAACACCTTCCACTAAAAAAATTGCAAAAAATCAACGCGATTTCTAAATTAGAATAAAGAGCTTTTCATATATTCCAAAAAATGTTGGGGAGATTCTGTAACCAGTTAGCGACAATCTTCGGATCGGTATCGCTTTTGTTGACGTACATATGATATGAACATTTTGTTAGATAATGAGCTACACTTTCGTAAAAAAATAATGAACATTAAAATAGCAAAGGGAAATGGCTCTCTGCCCTGTACTACATACATATTCAGATTATATAGAAAAACGTGCGAAGCCACCCTTTCTAACTTTGAATAGATGTATTACGACACCGAGAACAGTTTAGGAACTTCCTTAATCTTTAAAGAGAGCCTAACTTGGGAAAATGTATCTGGGAATGCATATGTATGTACATATGTATATGGGGCGTAAACACAGGATCTTTTGGCAAAATAAATATAAAATAACCTTTTTACACGAAAGCTTACATTTTAATTATTGACTTGATGTGTATATGTACTATATGAACTGCATGGAAATGTTTATACTTTTATCTCGTACTGACGACGGCTTCCTTCCGCGCTGCATCCTGTAATAGTTGAGTGTCTACCTCATCGCCAGGTAATTGTACGTACCGAACAACGGAGCCTCTGATGAAACAATTCTTCACGGACAACATATGTGGATATTTATCTGGATCCGTAACATTAATGTCGGTTAGTTTAATATTTAAGTACTGGTCTACAGAATGTAATGTTCCGCAAATACTACAAATAAAAGGGGATTAGAGAACTAGCGGGCAGCAAATGCGAATGAAAGGCATACCTTAAGTCATTTTTAAGTTCCACGACGACATCTTTCCCCACAAGGGATTTGAAGAATGAGTAGAAGAGCTATGTCGTTGGAGGAATGAAAGAGAATACATTTTTGATGAATAAAGCTTTGTAAATTTAATATACTTTTAAAAATCCTACCATTTCATAAATGTGTTTGGAATTTGCAGCAAAACTGGAATTGTTTAAGCGGTTGTCAAAATGAAACAGCTGATAGCGTTGCCAGATGAGAGCTTGCGTTTTTATTTACGTTCTCACCTGCCAAACAAAGAACGTATATCAGATAACGTAAATATATAATTTACGATCTACTAAAATTTTCTAGCAACAGCGCGAACCGCTCCAACTGTTGGTGGCGACATCTACTTGTGAATGTTGTTCTTATGTGAATACACGCTCAAAATCAGATATTCTTCGTGAATCGGTTAGAGGCGAAAATCCGTTAGTGGGAATTGAGTTTTAAATAAAAATAACAATTAACAATACTTTTGTTTCTTTACAGCTAATAATAATAGATTGGCGCTTACACATACATTAGTATTTGGCCAAGCTTTTCCTCCGATTTTTGATCTTGTCACACAAAGGGCAGGGACCTACACTTTTACGCCGACTCCGAACGGCCATCGTATTTTTATGAGAAGCTGTTTTTCATGGCAAAAATATACTCGGAGGATTGTCATTGCCTGACGAGGGGCGACACTATTAGAAAAAAACCTTTTTTTTATTTTCGTTTATTTTTTATGCTGGGTTGAACTGGGCTTGAGCCCAGGCCTTTCGGCGTGGTAGCGCGCACTGCTAACCACTACACCACAGCGGCCGCCACAGATAATTATCAATAAATATGAGTAGTTTTCTTTACGCAAAAAATTAGCAGAATAGGGTTAAATCACACACATACATACATATGTATGTATATTTCATTTTAATATTTTTAAATAACCGTATTCAAAAACATGTTTGACTTAACTTATTGATTAGATTAAAATTTTTATTTTATCCAAATAATTTGGATTTTATTTAATCCAAACTTCGCAAGAACACTCTTTTGATTTATCAAAAAAAAATTTGACAAAATAGGTTTGCTAGTTTCGGAGTCTATAGGAAGGATACACACATACTTACATCCAATTATAACTACAGGGGTTGGCGCTCACGATGTTACCAATCAAAAATGCCATAGTTTTATTAATTTTTATAAGCCTTTATTCAGCCTTATCATGAGTTCCATTTTCCCCAAATCGGTTCAATTTTCACGTTTAGTTTCCATATATTAACTATGGGTGGATGACAAATTTTCGAGTGAATTTTTTTCGAGTGAAACTCAGGATAAGGCAGAATATGTTTCAACTCTGGGTAAACAAATCTTACAATCAATATTTACCTAACTTCCTAATGAGCTAGAGACTTAAAACTTCAAATTTACAGCCGTATTTCCATGCCAATGACAATCCAGCTAATGACAATTGTCACCATTAGAGCGCTTAAAATATATTTGTGGCATAGTATTAGGCGCAGTAATTGTGACAATATTCATACGATGAATTTTGTCAATGACGTGGGAATAGGGCGGTTAGCTCAGAACCCTATGGCTAGGCAAAATGAAAGATGAAGTATCCCCTAAGTGGCGCAGGTGTCGAAATTTTGGGAACCCCGTACTTACGGTCCGATTTGTTTCATATATATTTAGGAATAACGGATATTACTTAAATAAAAATAAATAACTCCACAAAAAATTTTGCCATTATGGGATGAGGAGTTCGACTTTTATTTTTGATTAGCCACCTTTAGCGCGGATAACATCATCGGATCTGTCTGGAAATGATCCACACGCTGCACGAATATGGTCTGGCGATACTTTGCGGCGATGAGCAATCTTAAAGGCATTGCATTGCTCTTCTTTTTTTTTGTTGATACTTTGGCCTCATAGGACCATAGAGAGAAATCCATTAGGTCTAAGACCGGAGAATATTGTGGCCATTGTTGCCAAGAAATGAAGCTGGGAAGTTTTGTCTAAAAGACGTTGAATTCGGCGAACTTTGTGCGATGGTGCATAGTCTTATTGAAACGTAAAATGTTTTCGTGCCCAAAGTTATAAAGCATCGTTTAAAATGCTTTCATCGTTTGAAATAAGGAACCATTATAGTCTGAATAAAATAAAAAACCGACATTTACAATCAGCTGAATGCCTATTGGGGAAAGGCCCGGGCTATTAGTTCTGTTAGACCAGCAAAAACAGGCTTGCCTAGAAATGTCACTGTATTCCTGGGCAGCTACTCCAATGAGTTGCAGCTATGGCAGGAATTTTTTCTTTCGAGCCACATTCTATCTACGTGAGTCTATACAAGTCTTTGCACTCCAAATTAATTACAATTGAAGCCAGCCTTAAGAAGTAGGAAGTTCAGAACGGGGATTCTCCTCCTACATATCTACGATAAAACATTTTCATCCTGTATTGAGTGCAAATCAAATCTCAGCCATTAGCGGCTAGCTTGTCATTCAGTTTGTAGCAAAAAAAAGCCACGGTGCTGTGTACATATGTACATACATACGTTAGTTTAGATCTACCTGGGTGCAGTGACAGTCCTAGTAATCGCAGCGCAGCCAGGCCTTCAAAACCTTCTTAATAACATTCTAAAACTGTTCGTCCAACGCCGAAACAAATTCTCGAAATGGATCGATTCACGGAAGAGTTCATGGGGCGGTCTCTGCTCGAAGGATATCCAATTCATGCAGTCTTTACGTCTGCCAAAGGACTGCAACGTCTGCAAAGTTGAGATTTATGTTGACGAGGAGTTCCTCTAATAAATATCACGATTCCGTCCAAAAGCTCCACTATTTTCGTCGATAGACAAGCGGTTTCGAAAACAGAAGGATCCATAGAAATGAACCGAGGGAGAGAGGGGTAGAAATATTGTGCCGCGGTGACATTATTGGGTCATATCAACATCAATTCTGCAATGAAGATGGCGAAGCATCAATCAAGCACTTTCTGTGTCATTGTCTGCAGCCGAGTTGACTGGATTACCTGGAGTTACGCTACTTCGCCAATCTGGCAGAGGTGTCAGGGGTGAAAATGTTGGACCAACCAATTTTTATTTGGGATCAAAAATATTTCAGCAGGTTAGTGCTTTGATTATTCTTTCTTTTCTCTTTCATTAGGAGCCCCGGTTAGGGGAATGTGTCTCTTCCTGGCATTCACTCACAGATAGTACTCATAATGGAAAAATAATCTCAGTGAAACTTTTTAATTAAATACATACGTATGTAAGTAACTTTCAAATTTGTTTTTTATTTATTTAAAACTAACAATAATAAGATCTGTTTTAGATAAAATTTAAATTTTAAATCACAAATGTTGTTACTACAGGTGTACGCAACATGCCAGAATCTGCCTAATTATTTTGGTTTGTCGGATATTAACTTAAATATATCTATATATCTATATATCTACATATGTATATGTATGTATATGTGTGTATGTTTTCATGTATGTGTATGTATAGTACATATAAATAATTAATTGCCTCTTGATTTTTTATTTTTTTTTTTTTGGGAGAAACTGGCGCTGTCCGCACTTTCATCCTTGGCACGCAGCCCAAAGTCATTTTGTCGCTCACATACTTTCTCCGCACCGTTCCCAACGTCCCCAAATGTGTCTTAATACTAATAAATTCGTATCCTGGATTCCATACCGGCCAATCTACCACACCTACTGGTCCACATTAAAGTAAGAATTCTGCATCAAGTACAGCTTGTCGATCGGGTTGACGAGACTCGTGCTGAGATTGGCGATGATGTCGTGTGGGTTGGAATGTTGATTGCCCGATGAGCCCGTGGACTGCAGCTCCAGGTTGTTCAGCGAAAGCGAATCGGTATCGTCGTCTAATTGATCGAAGTTACTGCCATCCAATGACAGATCTGAGCTGCAAAAACTGTCATTTGAATTTGGAGGATAATCTGTAAGGGGAGAAACAAACCAAAAAAAAAAAAGATTTACAAATGTGTTCCAATAGTTTGCCATAACTCTGGGGGCCTACCATCAGGGGAGAATGGTAGATTAGGATTAAGTGGTTGGCTGCCAAAACCGCTGTCACCCAAACTCAAGTAAGCACTTTCCACACCCGAAATGCCACACTCCTGCTTAATTTCCTTTTCATCCTTATTCGCATCCTTTTCATCGCCGCTGCGCGAATTGACTGTACCGCCACTGCCACCGCTCGCGCCACCACCGTTTTTCGCTTTTCGCTGAATCTTCTTCATTTTGGCGCGCTGATTTTGAAACCACACCTGCACCACGCGCACTGAAAGGCCCGTGTCCTTCGCCAGAGCTTCTCTCACCTTGCGACAGGGCTTCGGCGATTGGTCGAAAGAAGCCTTGAATTGCTTTCGCTGCTGTGACGTCAATATTGTGCGAGGACGTTTTGGACCGCGACGTCCGTCCCGAGGCCGCATCATATCGTCATCGTCTAGGCCCACATAGCCACAGTGTTGGGCTGTGGCCAGAAATATTTCCTTTTCGAGATCATGTCGACAGCAAAATAACTGGCCATCACGCAACAAAAACTGCTCGCCCTTCTGCAGGGGCAGTCGACAGATGTAGCAGATGAAACAAGGCAGGTGGAAAATGAAAGATGGAATCGGCCGCATGACCATTTCATGTGGCAGGATCGGGTGGCAACATCCAGTGCATTTAATGCTGAACAATCTATGGTAGAGAAGAAGGAAATACCGGTTTTTTCAACTGTATACTGCATATGTATGTATGTATGTATTAAGTTTAGTTAATAGGACTATTTGCAGAATTTGATTAAGCAACGCAATTTTACCTACCGATCGTAATCGAGTTTGCAGTAAAGCTTTGAATTGCGTACGTAACAGGTATTGAATAACTGTATGCCACAGTAGCAACACGACAAACAGTGTTCATGCCAATTCGATTCGCCGACATTCATGAGATACCGATCGTAGATCTTTTGTCCGCAACCCTCACAGATTTCGTAATTCTTCTCGCACTTCACCTGTCCGACATCTGCAAACAAAGGAAGAAAATACATTTTTAAGGAAAAAATCTAAATTTGATTGTTGGAATGACTTTTGCTATAACTAAAGGCAACACTAAAGACAAAAAAAAATAAATGTTTTGAGATCCATTTAGGATTTTTATTTTTTCGCTCAAAGATAATAATTTACTATGGAGTTTTATTTTTTCACTTAAAATATTGATCATTCAAAAAAACTCAAAAGCTACACCAGCGTGATTTCCGTCGAATCCTTTTCAGAGGTAGCGACACCCTAATAAAAGGAATAAGTCCCAAAATTTTCAGGTCAAAATTTCAGTAAAGTTCCGTCTGTATGGCCCCTTCAATTTTATAAATAATCATTATTATCTCTGAGCGAAAAAATAAAAATCATAAAATAATCATTATTTATGATTTAAAAAAAAACGGCCTCAAGCTCAATAAAAATTGTTGAATATAATTGTTATAAGGCCATAAAATAACAAAAAACAATCATTTCCGTTGAGCGAAGAAATAAAAATCAATAATAATTATTATTTTTGAGCGGAAAATATAAAAATCGTAAAATAATGATTAAATGCTGATTTAAATTATTTTACTCATAATGATTACCGTCCCTGCTTTTAACTGATTATGGAAAGAGTTGAAGTTGTGCGGAAGAGGAGATTTTACTATGCACACACGTGCTCCGTCTACATAAGGTGAAAAGTTTACACACATATGTATGAGCGGGTTAGACACTATCAATTTATGTCAAACCATAAATTTACTTTTATATTTGCGAGAAAAAATATGAAATACATACAGTGTTGTGCGGAAAAAAGATCCGGATCCCGATCTTGAGTAAAAAATATTTTATTACAAAAATGGTCATACATGTGAAGTAGAGGTATACGCCGCCGAGCCACGCCGTCGCCTTGATTAGCGGCTGGGTTGGAACTCCCACTTAGATTAAACTATTAGCAAAGCCATAGTTAACAGAGTGGCTATACCGCAAGATTGCTGGCGCCCAAACGATGACTTTGCTCTCGTTTACAGCAACAACGAGAACTTGTTTGTAAGGATAGACCCTGCTCCCATAATTTTTTTTTTAACAGTAGCTGTAGCAGCCTTGACAGATATTTTAGGAAAAACCCGGAGTTAGAAAGATGCGGCATTTCTGATGCTCGGCTAGTGTCCTTTGGCAATAAATTGAGGGTAAAAATACCAAAACGGCAAATCTGTACAAATGGGCTCCCCACCTCCATCCCAGATATGTGTGTATGTGCATCATTGGTATGCAGACGGGTCAAATATGGAAAATAGAAAGAAAGAAAAAGGATGGAAAAAAACTGCCAGATGACCCACAGATATAAAGTTAGAGGTGCTAGTAATCCTGCCCTGTACCATAGTGAAAGATGGAAATAACGGTAAATTACTACTAAAAGTTACTAAGCTTCAAATCGGACAGAATAGCTGCCGTGCTGTAATTCCGAGATGGACATACAAAGTACATAGTAAGGTACACTAAAGAGCAAAATAGTACTCACCGCACCTACGGTTACGGTAAACAGAAGCATAATGAAAATTTGTACTATATTTTTATTTCTAAAATTTCGTGGTTTTATTTTGGAAAGCTGGTATTTTTTCTTGCGTGTGATAAATCATTTTTTAGTGAATCATAGAACAAACAGACCCCGAAAACATGTCTTTTTTATATGCTTCATTATATCTATACTTATGAATGTTCACTTTTGCT